CTACTACCAAAATTGTAAGAATTCTGAAAAACCTAAATAAAAAATAATTAAATTTTCCTTGTCTGTCATATTTAACGAAATATGTTTAAAAGTAATTTTGCTGCCGAAATCTACATTAATATATATATATATATATATATATATATATATATATATATATATATATATATATGGAGTGGGGGAATATAAGTGCTGACAGGATTAAATTATTCTTTTCAGTTCTACCAACTCTCACCAACATCATGTAAATTTGTTACGGCACGATTACAATTTTAAACTAATTTTACCCCGCGAGTCGATTATTTTGGTCTAAATTTACTAAACTTATATAAAATTTCCCCAGCAAAATCAGTGCGTTGGAAAATCTCCTTATCCATATAGCTAGTACTGTCTATATAAGTATATATGTGCACAGATGCATCTGTTGATATGCATATAATAAAGTGTACTCATGTATATATATATAACACTTTATTTACCTTCATATATAACAGAGAAGCCCAGAGAAAGAGTGCATCAAAAATCAAACGAATATAGATTCCGATTGTGCCAGAGAGACAAGGATTCGTCCAATTCATGAAAGAAAGGATTCTTTCTCCGCTTTCTTGCTTCCATCCTCGGCTTTCGACTGCCTTCCGGATTTCGCTCTTGTCTTTTCTTCTTATTTCGGCACTTTCCGTTTGTTTCCGGCTTTATGCCTCTATCCGGCGTTAAATCTTTACATCATAGGGAACATCAAACACTATTGACGAATAAAACACGTGACCATCTCCGTTGAGGGAAACCTCGTTGGAAAAGGGCCTACTAAAAGTCTGATGACACATCTGTTTCTAAATGGGTCATGTAAGTCTTATATTGTTTATTATTATTACTGATTCAAACGCAACATCTTTTTCACGTGAAAAGTTATAAAAAAGAACTTTTTTATACGTATAAACCTAACTCAACCGCTCTTAATGCAACAATGAAGGTATGGTTTGGAGAACTAATTTCTAATTAACGATCTTCCTTTCATACTTCCACAACAGATGCACAGTAAATGTAGGTCTTAGGCGGGCTTCCGAAAATGGCGCCCGAAGGACATAGAAATCCATATCTAATGTGGAAAAGAATCTTGTGCAGCAAGTCATTTATGGAAGAAGATATACTATTAGTTCTTCCCATGCTAGATAAAATCCAAAAAAGAATCTGCAATATTATTAGTCCTGACCTGGCATCTCGGCTTCAGTCACTTTCCCACCGCCGTAACGTAGCTTCCCTGTGCCTTTTCTATAAATACTTTCATTGTAATTGTTCTGATGAACTTTCCTCTACAGTACCTAGACTTTATGAATTTAAGTGAAATACTAGAACTTGTACATTTGAACTGGCTAGATTGTAGCCATAACTCCTATGCTAACAGTTTCATTTCTCACACTTCTCGCTTGTGGAACTATCCTTGCTTTCCTGTCAAATTTGATCTTCAAAAATAAAATACAATGTTAATAATTATCTTCCGTCTTCTTGGATCCTGTTCTTTTATTGTCTTCTCTCCTTAATAGTATATTTTTTCTCATATTCTCTAACACTCAATGACCGCTTGCGTCTTAGTGGCTTTATTGCCTTGCTTGGGGTGAAATGTTTTAAAAATGGTGACTCTCGTGTAATATATTGCTATTAGAGACGAAAGAGCATCGTTCTTTTCCTCTATCGCCTCAAATGGAGAAATTGTAAAATATTACAGGAGATCGACTACTTCTATGAGCAATAATACGGATATGTGAAATGCAGTTTTGGTTGCAGCTGCACATATAGTGTTCTACTATCACAGCCTGCGAGATTCCGATAAGAAATAACAATCAAAGTAGATTCCGTATGATTTTTCGCATAAACAATAAACATTTAAGAATCTGCAATGATACAGGTTCTGACCTGGCATCTTGGCTTCTGATGAACTTCACTATATTTTGTTTAGTTTCTTGTATATGAAATTGTAATCATTGTAAATATTCATTTGGTGTTTTATTTTTAAAAGTTTTTATTCCCCACCCCCACAGATAAATTGTACATATCGGAGCTAGTTAGGACTTCAGTGTCTGTCAATATTTCTGAGATGAGGTATTGTGTACACTATTTACATTATTCGGACTATTGTCCTCATCTTTGTAGCCATATTTATTACAACGTTTCGGCCTTTCAGTATCTGTCTATATTTCTGAGATGAGGTATTATGTACACTATTTACATTATTCGGACTATTGTCCCCATCTTTGTCGACAGAGAAAATACAAATCTGCGGTCCATATAACATCAGAACAACCTTCAAAAGCTTGACGACACTTCACAGATATCTCTCCCGAGTAAGAACCGCCCATAGAGGAGAACATGACTAAAGACTGTGTGTACGCTATCCCGTGCAACTTTCAAATGCCTTACCTTAAGGGGGAGACAGGCCGCCCCCTCAAGGTAAGGCTTCAAGAACACCAGAAAGCTGTAACACGAGGGGATGTGGAAAAATCAGGCGTGGCCGACCACATATGGAGAGAGAAGGTAGATCACCACCCAATGTGGGATCAGGTTGAGATCATAGACAAGGAACACCATTGGAAAATTTGTAAACTTAAAGAATCAGCACATATGCTAGGCAAAAAAATCTCCTGAGCCGACCAAGCATAGAAATGAATACAATATGGGAACCAGTAACAAGGAGCGCGATAACAACAACAAAAAATTGCAATATGAGCTCTGGTAAAAACATGAAATGATAACAGCAAAAATTGCAATATGAGCACTGGTAAAAATGGCTGCTGAAGACATTAGGTCTATAATACCCAGAAATTCATACACAGATGTCCTCTAGAACACATGGAACAGTGGATAAAGGCGTTAGTTAGATCCAGTGACAGGACTCAAAGAGTATGAGATCAATACCCGGTTAAGGCAGTGGAGAACTTTCAGAGGGAAAATTAACAGGAGATAACTGATAACTGGCATCCATTAAACATGGCACGTGGAACTAGAACAGTCTACCCCAATGAGTGAAAGAAAGTGTTCAGTTCGACATTCCAACCACCTGAAGAAGGCCGGAGCGTACGATGGTAATACATATGGCAACAAAGATGAGGACAATAGTCCGAATAATGTAAATAGTGTAGTTAGGGTTTCATATTATGGTAGCTGTTGTAAGAATCGTAAGTAAGAATGTGTTGTTTTGATGTAAGGAATACGGTTGTATATTTGAGTCAGTAATCGTGGTTAGCTAAATTTTAAGCTAAGCCAGATTGAAAATATTTGGCCTTGTGCCACATTTTTGTATTATTCAAAGTAAATATTGCTTTCCTCTATGGTACATTAATTTTAAGAGTTTACACGCAGTACTAGATTGGCGGCAAGGTCTCATCATTTTAAAATTGAAATGGCTACATTTAATCGTAAGTTCTATGCTAACAGTTTCTTCTCTCGCACTTCTCGCCTGTGGATTTCTTTTCCGGCTTTTAAATTCCCTGTCAATTTTTCACCTTAAAAAATGTCATTCGTTATCTTAAGTCTTCTTAATTCTTGTTCTCTTATTGTTCTCGCTCCTTAATAGTTTTTTTCCCCCGAATACTTGGTACGCGTTTGGTTTTTACTCGTTTTATTCACTTCTTTGGGATAAAATATTTTAAAAAAATATAAGATCCAAATCAGTTTTACATCATCTTAACGATTATTACTGTTTTGGGATGATGAATTTTCAATATCATTATTTTATCCCTAGTTTGATTCCATCTTATTATTGTTGCTTTTTAGATGAAGTATTTTCATTATTATTATTTTATTACTAGTTTTACTCCATCTTATTATTCTTGCTTTTTGAATGAGCCATTTTCACTATCATTATTTTACAACAAAGTAAAACAATATATTATTATTATTATTATTCTAAGAGATTATAATAAAAACATATTGAAATCGCTACACAAAAGTTTTCATGTTTCAATACTTTGACTGTATTGCTACAAGCGACGGGATAATCAAAGAATTGAAACATGAAAACATGTTGCTATTTTAACATGTTTTATTATAATCTCTTATATATATATATATATATATATATGTGTGTGTGTGTGTGTGTGTGTGTGTGTGTGTGTGTGTGTGTGTGTGTGTGATAAATAGCTTTAAGTTACGATGAATAGTTTTAAAGTAAGATATATAGTTTCAAGGAATGCTATATTGATGTGTAAAATGCTCAATATCAGAGACAAAGCGTATGTAAATATAAAATATATAGGTGGATATTGAAGCCAACATCAAGATTGGTGCGGTGATTGCATTCAAATAAGAAATTGTTGCAACCTCAGTGACTAATTTTACAGATAGATAGATAGATAGATAGATAGATAGATAGATAGATAGATAGCAAATCCTTAAGAGCAAATGATAATCCACGTTGTTCTTTTTAATATAAAATGTTAAAAAGATAGATCTGTAGAGAGAAGAACAGGAAGGTCTAAAGATGAAGGGGGGAATTAAAATTTAACAGAGAGAAGTTTTAAAGAATGGAGTCAAAGACGGTTTAAGTGAGAGAAATATGAATTTTCTCGGATGTCTAATACATTAAAGATGTAACCGGAAAGGATACATTTTGTGGTGACATAGACGATATAATCTTAAAGATCAGAAGATGAGAGAGGGAGAGGAAAAGAAAAGAAAAAAGAGTGGGGGGAGAGATGGCGTGGGGGCAACTAAAACTGTAAGGCATTTATAAAAGGGCCGCTGTGTAATCAAGAAAATTTGACAAAATTAATATCGACTACAGGTTACAAATCAAATATAAACATAAAAAAAATCAAATATAACGCTTATCTAATCTAGCAAGGACCTATATTTCTATGTTCAAAAACACATGCGTATACACACATACACAACAACATATTTATATTTACACGTACATACATACATATACATATACCCATGTATACATATACATATATATATATTCATATACATATATATATATATATAAATACTCATACATAAACACACACACACGTACATATGATTGCATATGTAAGTATATATTTTTTATCTCTCTCTCTATCTATCTATCTATCTCTCTATCTATCTATCTATATATATATATATATATATATATATTAACATAGGGGTGATCTCACGGTTTCTGTATTTGTTCTGTTCTATCGTTAGTCATCTCCATATTGTTTGATATGCTTCGTTTGTCTTGTCTTACCTGACCATTTCACAAGCATGTTTTTGAAAATGTCAGATATGACACGCAGGAAGCCTTAGAGAAATCATCGTTGGCGTCCATTACAGACCAATTCCGTGTAATTTGTTTTTCTATCTTTCTATCTTTCTTTCTTTTTCAGCTTTCGATTCGTGATTCTTTGAAAGATAATGAAAAATCCTCCTTAAAAAACGTCCTTCCTTTTACCATCTCGCTTTCGCAACGCCATTAATTGTATAAAGTCGGAAACACACGCTACAACGATCAGGAGAGCCGGTTTGCGACATTGCGGCATGCTGTTTCTGTTTTTGCTCTTATTATAATGATTATTGAGTGGGAGAGGAGAACGCCAACAAAGTTGCGGTGGGAGGCAAATAAACGAAATATAATGTAGCCATTAATACATCCAGTCAAATAAGGATATGCCAGGCGCATTATTATTATTATTATTATTTCCTTTGATTTTTGGCGTGTACACATTTCTTTCCAGGTTCCTGGGCGGGACCTAAGGTTAGAAATGGCATCATGACATTTTACACTGGCAAAAAAAAAACATATTTTACATAGATAAAGCCCTTCGTAAGGTGTGGGCTGTACTTGTGAGAACAATCTTTTGTATTTCTTTGAGGCATGGTCTTCCAGGAATCCCTCCAATTGGTCTACTGGAGTCTTTTCTAACCAATCCTAGGGCTTCAACTATAACAGGGATTGTTGATGTTCCCACGTGCCACATTTTTGAGATTTCTATTTCAAAGTCCTTGTATTTTGACCGCTTTTTGAATATCTTCAAAGATACATTGCAGTCAGTAGGGACTGCCATATCAATAAGGAGGCACTTTTTTTGTTTGTGGTCTCTAATAACAATGTCTGGGCGGTTGGCTTTGATTGTTCTGTCAGTGTGTATTGTGTAGTCCCATAGAATGTTAACAGGTCCTATCTCCGTAACCGGGTCTGGGTGGTGATCATACCAGTTTCTTTCAGTTTCCTTCCCGTAGAAGTTGCAGATTTTCCAGTGCAGATATTGGCCCACTCTGTCATGCCGGGTTTTATACTCAGTGGGTGCCAATATCGTGCAACCTGATACAAGATTATTATCATTATTATTATTTCCTTGGATTTCTGTTGTATACAGATTTCCCTCCGGATCCCAAACAGAGACCTAAGGTCAGAAACTGATCATTTTTTGTAAAAAAATAAAAATAAGACAACCATCACACACATTTTACATAGATAAAGCTCTGTAATATGTGAGCTGTACTTGTGAGTACATTTTTTGTATTTCTTTAAGGGGTCAACTAGCTAGGATCCCTTTAATGAGTTTATCGTTCCCTTTTCCACTAAACCCGGGTGCTCCTGTTACAACTGGAAATACTGATGTCCTCATGAGCCACATGTTTTTATATTTCCAGTTCAAGATCTAAGCATTTTGATAGTTTTTTGAAGATACATTACAGACTGCAGGGTCTACCATGTCAATAAGAAAGCACATTCTATATTTGTGATCTTTGATTACGATGCCTGGGCGATCAATTTTGATTGTTCTGTATGTATTGTAAAGTCTCGTAAAATTGTTACACGTCCTATTTCCGTAACCGGGTCTGGATGGTGTTCATACCAATTTCTTGCAGTTTCCTTTCCGTAAATGTTGCAGATTTTCCAGTGCAGTTATTGACCCACTCTGCCTGTTTTTATATTCAGTGGGTGCCAATACCGGTGCAACCTGATACAAGATGGTCAATTGTTTCTGGATACTTATCACAGAATCTGCATTTTGGGCTAACACAATTTTACAGTATGTGTGCTTGGAAATTTCTAGTTAGCAAGCATTGGTCCTGTGCGGCAAGAATAAAATATTATTATTATTATTATTATTATTATTATTATTATTAGTTTGGATATCTGTTATATACACATTTCCTTCCGGATCTCAACCAGAGACCTAAGGTCAGAAATGAGTTTATGATATCTTCCGCTGATAATTTTTTGTAAAAAAAATAAAAATTAAAAGACACATTACAGACTGAAGGGTCTGCCATGTCAATAAGAAAGCACATTCAATACTTGTGATCTTTGATTACGATGTCTTGGCGATTAACTTTGATTGTTTTGTCTGTGTGTATTGTATAAAACATGTCCTATCTCGGGGTCTGGGTGATGTTCATACCACGTTCTGCAGTTTCCTTCTCGAGCAGATATTGGCCCAGTTATTATTATTATTAGTAGTAGTAGTAGTAGTATAGAATTAGAGAGCTACGCAACAAAAATGACGCTAACCCAGTATACCCATCATAACGCACAACAAGCAACGCGGACTTCTGAAGCAAATATCCTCAATGTAGTACTTGTTCGGCGGTACAGACTCCAACGCCCCAATAATAACTGACACAATAGTGGCCTGAACCGCCCACATTCTGACAGCCTCAATCCTGAGCTCGGTGTAGTTTTTAAGCCTGTCAATTTCTTTAACTTCGACATTATGGCCACCAGAAATAGACATGTCGACGAGGGGGCGTTTTCTTGATTCTTTGCCAATGAAGGTGATATCTGGTTTGGTGGCCTCGAGGATGAGATCTGTTTAGATGTTGAAATCCCACAAGATCTTGACGGTTGTTTACGCTCAACTTTTTTGGCTTGTGGCGGTACCATTTCAAGTCAGTTGAAGAGTTCTTGGATTGTGTGTCATGGTGGTTACTGTACGAAGCATCCCCTGGGGGGGGGGGAGTTTTAAGGAATTAAATTACCTGAACAAGTGTGGATAAGTCTTTCTATTAAAAAGTTTCATTCTATTGTTCTAGGAAAGAAAATGGCGAAAGAGCGTGGAAAAATAAACGATACGAATGATGAAAGATGAATAATAGAATCGAGGAATGTGACGCTAAATCGAAACAAAGAGAGAATGAAAATGAAATTTAAGAAAAAAAAATACAGGAGATAGAAGAAATCAAAGAAAATTGAGCAAAACGGAAATTCTGTGTGTAAGACAAGATTTGAAGTTTAAAAAGACGATCAAAAGAGAACGAATAAATATATAAGCACACAAGTTTTTAAGTTTTGGCAAAGAAACTTGGAAATTTAAATAAAAGACAACGAAAAGAAAGTTTTAATGAAAAATGAGTCCGAAGTAAAGGAAATGTAAAAACAAAAAAGAAACATTAAATATGAGGTATGGCTTGGTTTATTTTGTTTTACGGCATATCAACACCTCAATGGGTTATTTAATACCGACAACATTTTTAGGATAGATTCGTATGAACAGAATATGTATTCTTTGGTTTAGATTGGCTTGATTTATTTTGTTTTACGGCATATCAACCTCAATGGGTTATTTAATGCCGACAACATTTTTTAGGATAGATTCGTATTAATAGAATATCTATTTGATTTAGATTGGTTTGGTTTATTTTGTTTTACGGCATATCAACCGCATTGGGTTATTTTATGCCAACAATATTTTTAGGATAGATTCACATGAATAGAATATGTATTCTTTGGTTTAGATTGGCTTGATTTATTTTGTTTTATGGTATATAAACTTCAATGGGTTATTTATTGCCGACAACATTTTTAGGATAGATTCGTATGAATAGAATATGTATTCATTGGTTTAGATTGGTTTGGTTTATTTTCTTTTACGGCATATCAATCTCAATGGGTTATTTAATGCCGACAACATTTTTATTGCTGGTAATATGTTTTTCTTCAAAAATCTATTTCTGGGAATATTTTTCCTTGAAGACATATAATGTTGGTCATATTTTTTCAAACAAAATATAGCTGTTTGTATTGCTGGTCCTTTTTTTAGTTTTGCAGATAATAATTTTTCATTCAAAAATTATTGCTGGTAATATTTCTTTTTTTCCAAAATATTTCTGGTATTAAAACGTATTTTTATACAAGTTTGGATGTTAGCTATTTGCCCATAGCTGGGACCCTAACAGTTGCTACCACCGCGGGTCAGGGTGGCCTGGGAACACTAGCAATTAAGAGGTGGCCCCACGCTCCTCAAAACCTCCTGATCAGAGGCCTTGCTGTTGGATGTAGTTTATCGTCTTACCTAGGATGCGGATGTAGTTTATCGTCTTACCCAGGACGATTGAAATTAAGTGAATATAAAGAACTCGACTGGAATTCGAACACGGCTCTTCGATTCCTCAATCCGAAATACAAGAAATACATAAAATAAAATAAAAATGTTAAAAAAAAAAAAGAAAGCAAAAAAAACAACGTGGGAAAAAAGGAAAAAAAAAAACAGAGACATTGTTTTCTAAAGAATAAAAAAAAGTAAAAGAAACAACCCAAAAAAAGAAGACGAAAAGAAATAAAAGCAAGCCGAAACGAAACCCAGAACTGCCAATCCTTCTTTTTATAAAAAAAAAATATTTACTCAACATTTTTTCGTTTAATTTCTTATAATTTTCTTTCTTTTCTAGACCATTTTTTTTTTTCATTCCCTCTTCCCGGTTTTCAAACACCATTTCCTTCTTTCTCATCGAAAATCTGTGTTTTTGTTTGTTTTGTTTCCTTTGTTTTGTTTTTTTCTATTCTTTGTTTTTTTTTTCTTTTGCTTCTTTTCTTTCACGCTTTTTCCTTCTGTTGCTTCATGACTCCATAAACATTTCCCTGAAAGACATCAGCAGCAGCAGCAACAGTAAACGATACAACAGCACCACACGCATGCGCGTTCGAATTCACATATGGTGTTTGAGCACAAATACGACGCAGACCTCGCTTTCTCTCGAACAAGCATAGAGCAACAGCAAACACGAAGGCCAAATTGCAATCAATGAAACACATCTGCCCTCAATGAACGCGCACATTTCCGCAAAGAGATTCTCACTGGTGACAACAGCAACAGAAATGAGTAAACAAGTCGTGGTTGATCCTTTTGTAAGTCAATATATCATTGTAGATCTACATAAATAAAATTCTTTGTTCAAACGGTCATATCACGTCTTTGTTTGCATCATTGTAACACCCTCCCGCGCGAACACACACACAACCATCTCTCTCTCTCTCTCTCTCTCTCTCTCTCTCTCTCTCTCTCTCTCTCTAACATTATATATATATATATATAAAGAAGAAATATAGTTTTAAGGAGGCTATATTTATAGGATAAAAAGTGCCCAATATCAGAGATAGAGCGTATGTAAATATATTTATAAATATATATTTAAATATATACATATAACTTATATATATATATATATATATATATATATATATATATATATATATATATAAAGACATTTTTTATGTTTATACATTCTTTTATAGATACAAATATTTAAGTAAATGCTCTGTTTTATAATAAACAGTATTAAACAACATTTACCGGCCTGAATGTCCGAGAAATTTTCATAGAGCAGATATGAATGTACGAGAGAATCGTGAAGATTGTAGTTTAAAGACAGTAAAATCGACCTTGCTAACCGAACGCTCCTCTGTGGCCAAATCGGTTAAAGGCACGTCAGGTTATATGACGGTTCCGTATGAGATATATAGTTTCGAATCCTGTAGGAGGACGAATATTTTCTATGAAAATTTCTCACACATTTAGGCCGGTAAATGTTGTTTAATAATCTTTATTATAAACAGATCATTTACTTAAATATTTTATCTATAAAAAGAATATATAAACATAAAAATGTCTTAAAATAATTGTCGGACTTTGTCCATTTCATATATATATATATATATATATATATATATATATATATATATATATATTTAATTTATGTTTATAATTTTATATATATATATATAAATATAAATTTATATATATAAATATTAAAAATTTCTCAGAGTTAACCTGTAGAAAAAGACAATATTTATAAATATAAATGACAATAGGAAAACACCTAACGCGTTTCGTCCACTGTGGACTTTCTCAAGGTAAAAAACGAAATGAAATTTATTTAAACATAGTAACTAATAATAACAAAAACAAAATGCCCTTAGCAACTGGAAGAATTTAGAGAATTTATTACCCAAATATTAATCTAAGCCCAGGCTTTTTCCCTATTTCACCTTTCTTAAGAGAATTACTACTCTCCCAAACAAATGTACACAACATTATCGTGAAATCAAAAGAAAATGGTTGAATCACAGCAACACAGCAATAACAATATCTCCACATGTGGCAGTAATTAACGTAATTTTCAGTTAACAGTATGAAAATAGCGTTCTCTAAATTCTTCCAGTTGCTAAGGACATTTTGTTTTTGTTATTATTATTAGTTACTTTTCTTTAAATAAAATGATTTCGTTTTTGTAGCGAATAACATGTTTATTGAAAAAAGTGTGGAGATATTGTTATTATTGTTGTGTTGACCGATTCAACCATTTTCTTTTAAAAATAGCGTTCTCTAAATTCTTCTAGTTGCTAAGGACATTTTGTTTTTGTTATTATTGGTTACTTTGTTTGAATAAATTCCTTTCGTTTTTGCCTTGGAAAAGTCCACACTGGACGAAACGCGTTGGCAACTATTACAGTTTTCCTATTGTCTTATATATATAGATATATATAGTTTATATATAATTTATATATAAATATATAATTTATATATAATTTATATATAATGATATAATTTATAAATAATTTATATATAAATATATAATTTATATACAGATATATTTAAAATTATATTTATGTATTTATACAGATAGATATAATCTATGTAGATACATTTATAATAATATATATGTGTGTGTGTTTGCGTGTTTGTGTGTGTTTGTTTTGTTGTTTTTTTTTTCTCTTGTATACATACAAGTTTTGTTTTCTGTCCTCAACGGATATAATTTTTTTCTCCAAACCTTGGTTACTTTAGAAAACATCCGACTAAACTATTAGTCATTTTCAGAGACTAGTGTTCTACTTTAACCTATAGTGTGTAAGCACTATTGTTGACGGTACATTGTAAATTGCAAACGAAAAGGACACTTAACATCAGGAAGAGAGACTTGAAATTTCTAGGGCCCATAATGAGGAAAGAGGGCTTGGAAAATTCGATACTCACAGGACAGACTGAAAGCAAAAGTGATAGAGGAAGCGTGGACAGTGTTTCTGAGAGTACAAAAATGTAAAATTTATTAAGATCTACAAAGGACGGGAAATTGTGGAGAGTCATGATCGCCAATGTCCAAAAGAGACACGGAAGAAAAGAATCTTACGATGTTGGGCGAAAGCATCTCTAGAGCAACCTATCCTCGGGTCAAACCCCTTATTTCCTCAACTTAATTTGTTATGATTTCTCCAGGCACCGAGATTTTTGAAGTGTTTAGAATTTCGTTTAAAGCAATAAAAAGAGATGTCATTAAAAGCGACAAAAAGGGAAAACAACAGTTTCTTTTTATGTGCCATGTCCTTTCAAGACGTAGGCGATCATGTCTCTCCACTTCCCTCTATCTCTCTTGCAGCTCCCAAAAAGTTCCTTCCTTTTACTATCTCCCTCAGACCACGTTCTGTCATCCACTTGCTCAAGCCCACCAAGAATGTCACGCTCTGCTTTCCATTGTCGCTCTTTCCTTCTATTCCACCCGTGAGTATCAGATTCTCCAGGCCCTCCTTCCTCATTATGTGTCCTAGAAACTTCAGCTGCCTCTTTCTGATGTTAAGTATAAGTCTTCTGCTTGTTTGTAACCTCTCTAAGACCTCATCGTTACTCACACGCTCAGTCCATGATATCCTTAGCATCCCGCTGTATAACCACATCACCGTCGCCTCGAGTCTCTTCAGCTTCGAGGAAATCGTCCAACATTCACTGCTCAATATTCTTTTCTTTGTTACCAAAGATATCCTCCTGACTCGTAGTACTTTACACAGCTTTTGGAATGCGTCTTTGGCCATCCCAATACGTCTATGGATCTCAGTGTCGCTCTTGCCGTCCTCTGTCAAAACACTTCCCAGATATCTAAATTTCTGCCCCTGCTTGATTTTAGTGTCCCCCGACCTGTATCTCGTAGTAGTTCAGGACTCTTTTCTTTGTTACCAACGAAATCCTCCTGTCTCGTAATACTTACCTAGCTTTTTGAATGCGTCTTTGGCCATCCCAATACGTCTTCGGATCTCAGTGTCGCTTTGCCGTCCTCTGTCAAAACACTTCCCAGATATTTAAATTTCCGCCCCTGCTTGGTTTTAATGTCCCCGACCTGTATCTCGGAGTAGTTCAGGACTCTTTTCTTTGTTACCAACGAAATCCTTCTGTCTCGTAATATTCTGCCTACCTTTTGGGATGCGTTTTTGGCCATCCCAATACGTCTTCGGATCTCAGTGTCGCTCTTGCCGTCCCCTGTCAAAATACTTCCCAGATATTTAAAATTCCGCGTCTGCTTGATTCTAGTGTTCCCGACCTGCAAATCGCATTTCGGGCTCATCCTCTTACTGACGACCATGCATTCTGTCTTCTTGTAGTTTATGTTTAGTCCTTTCTTCTCACTCTCCGTCGCTACCTTCTGTAGGAGATTTTGTAGTTTCTTTTCTCCTATCAGTACTGTGTCATTTGCGGAATTTATGTTGTTGAGATTGTGGCCGCCGACGCTCAATCCCGGTGTTAGGGTTTCCAATTCACTCAGAATTGCCTCGCTGTACAGGTTGTGCAAGTCGGGTGAGAAGACGGCATCCTTGCCTTACGCCCCTTTATAATTTTGTGTATTCACTGAACTCGTTCCCTATGCGCATGCATGCTGTTTGCTACCAGTATAGGTTTTTGATTATTCTGATATCTTTCCCGAATAAGTCAAGGTTGCTGAGCAGTTCCAGCAGATCCTTGTGGCGTACTTTATCGAAAGCCTTTGCGTAGTCTATGAAACATAAGTACACGTCCTTCTACATTTGTATTAATCTTTCTGATAACATTCTGAGCATGAATATAGCATTCCTTGTTTCGGTGTCTTTACCGAACCCGCACTCTTCTTGTCCTATCTCTGGCCTGATTCTGGTGCACGCTCTATTCATCAGTATACGGATGACGATTTTGTCACATGGCTCATTAGGCTTATTGTTCGGTGGATCTCGTATTCGCTGACGCCTGGTTTCTTTGGCATAGCTATTATTATATTCCGTGTTAATAGGAATATCACTGGAACAACACGATGGATAAATAAGTAAAGGGTTAATGTAATAACCAGTTGTGAGTGCTGCTATTGGAAGGTCGAATAGTTCTCGAGTTAGTCGGAGCCGTAATCAACTGATCCCCTCAAGTCTCCCTAGTCCGTTGCCTTACGGATACTTATAGGTAGTTACTACCTATAGTGTAGTCACTCATGGGGGTGACAGGTTATTCTATTACATCAGCTATGAAGATAGATCTACTGAAGTCTTCCGGTATGTTCCCGCTGTTGTAGATGTCATTTGTTATTTCGGTGATCTTGTCTATGCCAAAGTCGTCTAAGGCTGTCAGCATTTCCGTTATAATTCCGTCTGACCCAGCTGCCTTGTTTCTGTTCAATTTGGCCAGTGTGGCTTTTATTTCGGTTTTCAAAATTCCATGTCCGTCAGCAGTTCTGTGTATTACCGGTTGTTCCCTTTTGTCGTGGAAGAGTTTTCCAATATACTCGCTCCAGCATTGAAGAATTTTTTTCCTTCTCTAAGATGAGTGTTTAGGCAGCCTGTTTGATGAACATGTCTTCTGTCCTGTTAGTTGTCTTATTTGTTTGTGCATGTCTCTTTTGTTGGTAGTACTCAATCTTTCTATTTCTGCACATTTTTGGTTTCACCATTCTTCTTTAGCTTGCCTGCATTTGGTCCTTATTTCATTGTTTAATTTTCTGTACTCTGTCCCTTATCTTGGCAGTGTT